TGTTTTTCAGTAATTATTCATTCTATGTCATCTCTGAATTATAGGGTCATGGAATTAATTATCTAGATGCATTCTTAACAAGTCTGGCTACTTCACATCTTGTCCTTCTGGTGGAATGTCTGTGTTGGTGCTGCAGAGCTTTGACCAAGTATGGTAGGTCCCACAGCCTAAGGGGTGGAATGGTGGCTCGACCCTCACTGGCCCACCCAAGCTGTGACACTGTGTAGTAGGTTCCTGCAACCCATTGGGAGAAAAGCTGGCTGGCTTTGCCACTAGGTGGCGCTGTTCATCTTTTTGGCTTTTACCCAAAGGTGCCTGCCTCCTTTGGAGCAGACAAGTGGGAGAAATTCCAAAGAGGTGCCATCATGTTCTCAACCAGATCAAGCTCTTTACAACTTAGTTTTTTAAATAAATATTAAGCATCAGAGGTTTTTATGTAAAATAAACTCTCACATTCTACATATGATTGTAATAGCTTGTACTATGTCCAAATAAACAGCAGGGACTAGATTATGACTTTCAAAGCGCTTAGCATTCTTCCGGTCGGGCTCAGTTTGTGCATCTTCCTGGATGCATCCCGCTGACAAAACCATTTGCAGAGCCACATGGGATTTGGGTCTGGCTGGCCGTGATACATGTGAGAGGAATGGAGGTTCTCCTTTCCCAGTGAAACCTTTGGGACACCCTCCTCCCCCTCATTTTTGCTGCTCAAGGTTCCTCAGTTGCAAAACAACCAGAAACCACCCCTGGTTAACTCACACTGAAAAGAGATTTATGGGCAAGATCTTGGGTAGTTCTGAGTGTATAGGAGGCTGGAGAATGGCACTCAGAACAGGGGCAGGAATTCAAGGAGGCTGAGTTGGCTGGAATGAGAGCCAAAGTCAGGCCCTGGAATAGTCTGGGTAGAGTGTCACTGCTGTCGCCACCACTGGCGAGGACTGGCCTCTGAGCGCCATCCTTGGCACAGCTGCCACTGCCATTCTTGCTGCAGTTTTTATTTAAAACTGCCCACTGCGTCTTTGTGTCACCTGCTGCAGATTCAATCAATCACCAAGTGACAGCATGCAGCAGAACCTAGTCCCCCCAAAGTCCTCATGTCAGAGCTGGTACTCCCCTCTGCATTATCACGGTCACCCACTACTGTCATCCAAGGAGTGTTCTATCACTCTGGGTCCATTCTCCTTTCATCTTTTTAAAAAATGTTTTATTGTTGATTTGAGAACGAGAGAGAGACAGATTTTTTGTTGCTGTTGTTGTTGTTCTACTTATTTATGTATTCATTGGTTGCTTCTTCTGTGTGCAGAGATCGAACCTGCAACCTTGGCATATTGGGACAATGCTCTAACCAACTGAGCTACCTGGCCAGGCTTTCTCCATCCATCTTCTTACAACCCAACCACTGCATGCTTAACACCGGGCACAGGGAGGGCCTCCCAGAGAGTGCTGCAGCTGGCATCTACTGTGGTTGGGGGACGTTTGTGGCAAAGTAGTGGATAGTATTTTGAGTGTTATCCCTGACCATGTGTACTTTAGATTAGTTTGTAAGTAAGAAGTGGCTGGCACTTAGAAATCACTAGTATCTATATTGAGAAATATAAAGTGTCCAAAGGACTACCCACATGTGACGATGATTACTCATCATGTGTGAGACAAGGCATCCTTTGTTTCATGGGGCATTTCCATTCATCTCTTCTCCTGCCTAAGAATTCTGTTGTGCTACATTCTTATTTATAAAATTAAGATGAATTAAACTAAACTATGCAGAAGGAATTGGTAAATGGATTAAGGAATGTTATTACTGTGAAATATCATAGAGCCATTAAAAAATGGATATAATGAATGTAAAAATCTAGGAAATGTTAATAAAATACTTAATTTAAAAGTTAGGCCCTGGCAGGACAGCATCGTCTTATGCACCAAAAGGTTGTGGGTTCAGTCCCCAGTCAGGGCATATTTGGGAGACAACTGATTGATGTTTCTCTTTCATCTCTCCCCCCGCGCCCGCCCCCTCCCCCCCAACTTCCTCTGTTTCTAAAATCAGTGAACATATCCTCGGGTAAGAATTAAAAAAAGTTAGAACACAAAAATGTCCAGACATTATGGTTACAACTATGTAAATATTATTTATGCAAATAGATAAAGGTGGAAGGACTGTGAAGGAATTAAAGAACTTTCTGTGAAGATAGATCCATGGTTGAATCAATATCATTCCTTAAGTAATGCCTAAAAAGTTGAGTAGTTTGATGTAGTCCCATTTGTTTATGCTTGCTTTTGTTTCCCTTGTCTGGGGAGATATATCAGATAAAATATTGCTAGAAGCAATGTCTGAGATTTTACTGCCTATGTTTTCTTCTAGGATTTTTATGGTTTAGGGTCTAATATTTGAGCCTTTAATCCACTTTGAATTTATTCTTGTGTGTGGTTTAAGAAGGTTGTCTAGTTTCCTTTTTCCACATGTGTCTGTCCAATTTTCCCCATACCATTTATTGAGCACCATTTATCTTTAGCCCATTGTATGTTCTTGCTTCCTCTGTCAAATATTAATCGACTATAAAGGTGTGGGTTTTTTTCTGTACTCTCTGTTCTGTTACATTGATTCATGTGTCTGTTTTTATGCCAGTGCCATGCTGTTTTTATTACTGTGGCTTTATAGTATAGTTTGATATTAGGTAGAGTTATTCCCCCAACTTTGTTCTTCTTGCCCAGGATTGCTATTGCTATGCAGGCCCTTTACTTTCTGTTAAGATAGCTCCATGGATGACTCAATATCATTTTTTCGATAATGTCTAAACAGTTGAATAAGTAACACCTTAATATAATAAAATTGATTACTAAAATTATTTTTAAAATAAAAATGTTTGGATGCTATCACAATAGCCCTTTTTTATTTATTCACTCATTTATTTAAATTTATTTATTTTTTAGAGAGAGGGGAAGGGAGGGAGAAAAAGAGAGAAGGAAACATTGATGTGAGAGAGAAACATCAATCAGTTGCCTTTAGTAAGTGCCCTGACTGGGAACTGAACCTGTAACCTAGGCATGTGCCCTGATGGGGATTGAACCAGTAACCTTTCAGTTTGTGGAATGATGCCCAACTAACTGGGCCACACCAGTCAGGGCCACAACAGCCCTTTTGGTTCTGGGAAGCAAACTAAAGTATCATAAAACCAGGACTGGAGACCACTGGGCTTAGCGAACACAGAAGGTGGTGTTCCTTGACTGAGAGAACAAATGTTTCCACCACTTAGAGAATGATCTGAGGGACTGCTGAGGATCACGGATAGTCTCAGATGTATTGACAGTGACAGAGGCAAAGTTATTGCTGATTTGGGCTTCATGGGACTTAGAATGATTTCCTTGTTGCCCTGAGCATTCTCCTCAGTCAATTCCAAGGACAGTGAGCACGGCAGCCACCCAGAAAGGAAACAATGCCCATTTTAAAAAGGAAGCTAAAGCATGTTTCCTTGTGCAGACCCTCAAACCATACCTTGACCTTCTTATTACAGAATTTATGAATCCGGGACTTGATTTCCTGTACATCATTGCTTCTCACACTTTAAAGTGCATAGGGACCAGCTGGGGATCTTTTTAAAATGCAGATTCTGATTCAGTTGGTGTAGAGTCTGAGTTTCTGCATTTTTAATAAGCTCCCAAGCTGATGCCAGTGCTGCTGGTCTGCAGACCACACTTTAAATAGCAAGGTTCCATATCCTGAAGACTCGCTTTCAGATTGTCCTTCAGGTGTTCAGCTACACCTTGCTATTCAGAATACATGTGAAACCTGTAGTTTGAGTATCATAAAACACTGCTGAGAGAAATTAAAGAAGCGCTGAGTAAAGAGAGAGAGTGTCTATTCTCATGAATTAGAAAATTCAGTATTGTTAAAATGGTAATTTCTCCAGATTAATCTATGGATTCAACATGATCACAATCAAAATCCCAGGGGGATTTTCTTTTCTTTTCTTTTTTTTTTTGGTTGTTTCTGTTTTTGGTAGAAGTTGACAAGATGATTCCAAACTTTATATGAAAATCAAAGGTCCTAGAAGAGCCAAGACAATTTTGAAAAAGAACGAAGTTGGAAGGCTCATACTACCTCTTTCAAGACTTATTATCAAGCTATAGTAATCAAGACAGTGAATTACTGGATTAAGACAGCTCAGTGGAACAGAATGAAGTCCAGAAAAGGACCCACATATCTATGGCCAAATGCTAAAATGTGTTAGGCTAAGCAAGAGAAGCCGGGTAGCGAAGATTACATGCACTCTTGACACCATTTATATAAAATTCCACAAGAGAAGAAACTGTAGAGACATAAAGCAGATCAGGGGTTACTGGGGCCTGAGGAAAAGACCACCCTAACCCAGAGGGTTATCCATTTGTATGCCAGTGGTACGTGCAGCCCTAAAAACCTGGGCTTTCAAGTCAGCCTGTCTGGGTTCCAGTAGCGACTCTGCCACACTGGCAGGCAAACGGTTCACCTCTCTGCACCTCAGTTTCCTCATCTGTGTGAACTAACACAATGTTAGTACTTACCTTGCAGGGTCGTTGTGAGAATCGAATGAATAAATATATTTAAAGAGCTGAGAGCATTTCCCTGTGCCTAATAAGCTATATTCATTGCTGCTGCTATTATTAACCTCTGATAATGTTGTGATTTTACCTTCCTCCCAAAATTTGGTTCTTTCTTTCACCCTCTCCTTGACCTATGCACACGCCTGTAACTTGAGGGTTTTAATTGAATTTGAGGGGTGGAAGAGATCTTGGGTAGTATTGAAACCAAGTATGGATGACAAAACTGAGGCCAGGAAGGTTGAGTGATGTGCCCAAGGTCATGTTGGTACATAGCAGGCCAAGAACCAGAAGCCTGGCCAAGCTGACTCCCAGGTCAGCTCTGTTTTATCAAGGATGTATATGTTATTTTCATTCTTAATGTGAACCACAGGGATTTTTCTTGAAGCTGCCACTCATCAATTCCACCGTGTGGTGTTTGTTTTCTGCAGAGCAGTTCAGAGCCCCCAGCTGCCGAAGACTTGTCCTGTCACCACCATGAGCTCTGGTAAGTCATTTAAGTCTCTTTTTCTTCTGGACAAATCTACAAAACTGCGTAGTTTACCCAGATTTCTCCTTCTGAGAGTCCCAACTGCGTTTCATTTTTTAGTTTTTGAGACCTGGGTAAGTGCCAAAGCTTTGTCATAAATTGTCATCATCACTATCATCATATTCATTATTACGGATTTATTATCTGCCACGTGACGGGAACTATGCTCTACACTTTACATGCACATGTCCTAATCTTTATAATGGCTTCCTTTCCCTCTATTTTTAACAACTTTATTGAGATATAATTGGGATACAATAAACCGCAGATATTTTAAGTATACAATTTGGTAAAATTTGACATGTATACACCTCAGTGGCATTTCCTAATCCCAGGGACAGCAGCGAAAGTAAACAGATAGACCATAATTGCCCCAGTGTGCGAGCTGATCTGACACTGCCTTCACCCAGGCTGCTGGAGCAGTTCGCTCACCCTTTTGTGAGACATAAACAAATGACCAGCGTTGAGTATGTTTAATGCAGAGCTGGCATAGAACGCACAGGCTGGGGGAGATGAGAAGGGAACGAGTTCCTGCTCATTGTGCTACCAAGAGCTGTCTGCTTTCCAGCCCTGAATCTGAGGACAAGATGTTTCCATCTGGAGATGAAGGCCTGCCTTAGCTACCGAGCCTGCCTGGAGGCTGTGGGGGTGGGAGGATGAGAGGTAGCTGGGTCAAGGGTGCCCTAATCCTGCGTTATTTCCAGAGTGTTACCACAGACCTATGTGGAGGAAAAACGAGTCTCTCCATTTATTTGCATACAGTGCCCTTTCACCAGGTATTAAACTGGGCAGGGCAGTGTGCGCTTAGGACCGAGAAGAGCTCTAGATGGAAAGGGCCACAACTTGGCTTCCTCAGGTACCGCCCTTGTGACCTTGGGCCTGTGGTGGACCCTTCTCTGCACCCTCTTCTGTAAAATGGCCATCCTAAAAGCGCCAACTCCCTGGGCTTGTGTGAGAATTAAGTGAGGAAGTGCTTCTCGCGTACTGAGTGCCATGCCCAAGGCTTGGCCCGTGTTCTGTCCATGGGTTATCAGTTCTGGTTTCCTCCTTTCGAGGAGAGGGACTCGGCTGCCCCCTGATGCCATCAGTGCTTTTGCTGTGTGGGCAAACGCTGCACGCCTTTCCCCTCCAGGTGGACTCCGGTACTGCCAATAGCTCCTGTTTTGTAACTTGTTTTTCGTTTTTGTTTAACTTTTGGTTTTTGTTGTCATTTTTTCAGACTTTTGCTCTGCAGCCTAATGTTTTTTGTTCTTCTAATATCGGAATTAGCCTGAACTGGCATTGCTACTTACTCCTGGCACGAATATGGGCAGAGGAAGTAGGAAGGAAGGGGCCGGGCAGAAGGGCAAGGGTGCGGGAGTCCCTGCGGGTGTGCTCCCCAGGGTTCTTCTCGGGTGTGGTGCCGGGGGTGGTGGAGTGGGGGGGCTTTGCACAGCCAGAGTCCAAAGCATCTGGACCCGCTGACCTGATAATCCCACCCTTGGGAATGTCTATCTTAATTCAAAGGAAACAAAAACATCACCCACATGAAGGTGGGGAATCAGTGGCTTCATTCTGTGCATTTACTTGATGGAATAGTATTCCAATATTAAAGTGATCATGGAGAAGACAGCAACTTTGTAGAAAACACTTGTTTTAACCTTTGGCGGCCTGAGCAGCATGAAAACGTTGCATTCTTCTTGCCCCAAGTCAGGACTGGCTGTCCTTTGCCGAAGGAGGTGCTTTACCTGTACTATCTTCTTCCATTCTCCTGGCAAACCCACAAAGGTGGGCGTGGCTTACCTCCCTCATTCTTTAGATGGGGAAACCGAGGCCCTGAGCGGTTAATAATTTGGGCTCACCGGTTAGTGTGCAGTGGAGTTGCGGCAAACCCAGGCTTTTGGGCATCACTGTGCTGCAGACTTTGAATCTAAGGGGATGGAATGATCTTTCAGATTTTCTTTAAGTTAGCTGTGTTTAATTAAAAGAAGAAGAAACAGGAAAGGAAAGACATGGGGCTGGACCTGGTGGCAGCTTGGAGGCTGCCCAGATCCTGCCTTGGGGAGGGAGCCCCGAAGCAAAGTCTGCAGTCCTAGAAGGAAGATGGCCAAGAGGAATTAGGACAGGTGTGTGGGGAAGGGATCGTCAAAGGACAGATTTCTTTTTCTTTTTCTGTTTCTTTTACTTGGATTTCTGACCTTATTGCCAACACCCCTCCCCCCTTCCATCCATCCCAGTAATAGTGGTGCAAGGGAGATGTTGGCACCTGGGGAACTGGCCTTCATCAGTGGGTGGTTTGAAAGCAGTAAACAGGACAGAGCCTGGGCGGCCCTGGCCAGGCTGCTGGTAGGAGGAGCAGCAGGCCTTTCTCGTGTCTGCATCCGGGAGCATCCAGGCTGGCCAGGGAGGGTGTGGTTTGTGTCAGAGGCTGATTGTTAAGGGACTAGGTAGGGTGGCCTTGTCTCAGCCAAATGAGCTACTGGGGTTTGGGACAGGGCTTCGGTGCTAGCATTTAGGGAAATAGGATATATATATCTACCAGATATATCCCACAGAATATATATAATATAGAATTTGTCTGGTTTATATATGTATATATAAACCCTTTAATATAGAGTATATCTGATATAGGTGTCTATAAAAATATTTTTTATTTTAAAAATGGAAAGTGTTTTCCCTGACCAGTGTGGCTCAGTTGGTGGGGCATCGTCCTGCAAAACGAAAGGTCACTGGTTCAAGTCCATTTCCATTCCTGGTCAGGTCACATGCCTGGGTTGCAGGTTCGGTCCCTGGTCAGGATGCGAGAGGCAACCAATTGATGTTTCTCTCTCACATCGATGCTTCTCTCCCTCTCTTTCTCCCTCTCTTTCCCTCTCTCTAAAAATAAATAAAATCTTTTTTAAAAAATAAAAAGTGTTTATCTCAGTCAAGGATGAACAAAATAACCTGTGGGTGGAACAGGCCAGAGTTCAAATCCCAGCCAAGTGATCTTAGAGCCTGGCATCTTCTCTGAGCCTTAGGTTTTTTATTTATAAAATAGCAATTCCTAACACCGAGCTCCAGGGCCCTGAGTCTTAAGGACAAAATGAGATGCTAGTTATGGAATACTTAGCATGGCTTCTCAGATTCAGGCACATAGATGTTTAAAGACCATAGCTGTTCTGATTGGTTGGCTCTTGACTGTTAAGGGTCACTCCAAGCGCACTGGTCACATGTTCTTGGGTGGCAGGGTCTGCCTACCCACCTGTCTTCCCTTTCCTGCCTCCATCAGTTCTGGGTGGGGCAAGGGTGAGCTGCAAGGGTCTCAGAGTCTGCATCTGAGCAGGACTCAAGTCTCAGCTGACACAGAGAAGGTGACATTTGCCTCTTGGATGCTTAGGATTTCCTCATGGTGGGGAAAAAAAAGGGAGGAAGCATTTGTATTCTCAAGCCAGAGCCTGGAAGGAACCAGGCTACTGGCCTAAAAGAATCTGTGAGAGGAGGTGGGTGTGTCAGGCGGGGGAGGGGCGTGCTGGGGGTGGGGGAGTGCAGCGGGAAGAGAGCAGGGGCCAGTGGTTGAAGAGCCTCCAGTCCAGGGTAAGTGTCCCAGGCTTTGTCTTGTAGGTAGCTGCTGGCCTTTGGGGCTTGTTTGCTTTTAATGATCAAGAAGGTCAGTTGGTTAATTTAAATATAGTCAGGTATGCCAAGACACAGGTCTTCCCACTTCCTTAAAAATTGTATTCCAAACAATCATTGGTACATTTTGGGGAACTTGGAATACATTTTTTTCAGCAAATAGTATAAATAAATGGTTGAATTCCCAGGCTAAACCGCCATATTTTTACTTTTACAACAGAGGTGAAATACAGCATATTTAAAGTGAAGGTATTTTAGAATATCCTACTGCATTATTCTCTTTGGTTTTCATCTGTCCTGCACCCTGGGGCTTTTAACCCGGGGCCGTGGTTAGATCTGGGTCTAGGAAGTGTTCTCCTGCGCAGCCGGAGGGGTGGGGTAGAGGAGGGACAGAATGGAGGCAGGGACAGCGGTCAGGCAGTCACGTCATCTCTGGGGCAATGACACAAGGGCCTCAGCTGGACAGTGGGCTGGTGAGGAGGGGCAGTGTCCAGGGAGGGACAGCAGGATTTGCTGACTGCTGGACGTGGGATGGGGGAAGGAAAGTGCCCCGGAACCCGAGCTTTCAGTTGTCCGACAGCTCAGCCTGGATGCAAGGGGGCGCATACGAGCTGGCCTGTGAATGGGCAGAGAAGCCTTTTGTCGGGCAGCAGATGCCATTCTGAGGGAATTAAGCAGATTTTTTTTTTAATGTCCGGAACGAAGCCCTAGCAAGAAGGCAGGAGAATTTACATCACCCACCACATACTTCCAACCCCAAACAGAAAGCTTTCGCCTTCTCTCCTGCCTCAGGCCGCACACAGCTCTCAGAATTCTCCCACAATGCCTGAGAGGCATCCCCAGGCCTGAGGGAGCCTGCATGTCCCCGGCACCTCACCCGTGTGGGACTCTGTACGTGCTGGGGTGGGAGACCCATCGTCAGCCTCGTGCTTTTTTCTTTTTTTCAGAATGTGACGTTGGCGCTTCTAAAGCCGTGGTGAACGGGTTGGCACCAGGCAGCAATGGGCAGGACAAAGGTAAGGCTCTTAAAGGAAAGCCCGGCTTGATACTGGAAAACCTTTCCAGAAGGAGCAGAGGATGTTGGGCCTGGACCACTTGCCTGGTGGGAATAGTCACTGGTCTTGTCCGGCCCTAAACTAAAGACCTGTTTCCCACACTGACTTTCTGAAGCCGTGAGTGTGTTCTTGCATCTCAGGAGCCAGAGGTGACTTATTAAAAACTGTCCCTAGCTTTCAAATAACAGATCAAATCCATAGGCCGCGGTGTGCCTCTTGCCTGGTGCATGTGGCGTTTATCAGCCTGAAATTTCCCTTACCCAGCATTTCACCTTCACGGTCCTGACCCTGAGGCAAGAGCCTAAATTGCTGAAATAAATGATTTCAGTGGCATGTGTTTCATGTACATCCTCTCATATTTTCAGTTTTTAAAAATTTTAGGATGAAAAATTTAAGTGTGACATGAATGATGAATAAGATGGCCTTCGAGGTCCCTTTAGTCTCTCATCCTGAATGTCCTAAGGCTGCCCAGAGAGCTATGTGCCCATGTCATTTCTGCAGTGTGGTGTGAGTTGGAGTGACAAGATACAGGTTCAAGTCCCAGTTCTGCCACTCATAGGCATCTCTGGGAGTCCTTTGTCTTTATGGGTGTGAACTCCTGTATCTAGAAACACAGAAACTGCATGATCTGCAGCATTTATTCCTGCTTCAAATTCCGGGCTCCAGGGATTTTCTCTGCCTTCATCCCACTAAATGTTATAGTATCAGGGAGGCAGGGCAAAAGTCCTATCATTGGGCATTTAAGTAATTTCAGAGAGTTTGACATGTTTGGCTTTTGTAATTTTTATCTGGTTTAGCCAAGTATTCCTTCTGAGACAAGGCCAAATTGTCTCAAAAGTAAAGTTGGAAGAGCCGGGCAGTGGAGGCATAGAGAGCAGGAGGGATGGGATGTGGGGGGCGGCTGGGTTGGGGTGGGTTCCTTTGGCAGACACCCTGTGCTCCTTGTCTCCCTGCCTGCCACCCTTCTCCTCTCGTGGTGCGGGGCTGTGTCCTTGGGGTCATGGACAATCTCAGCTAAGGTGTACTTACGGATGTTGAGGGGCGGTGCCTGTGGGGTGGCTCCAGGGAAGGGTTTAATCATCCAATGAGGAGCAAGGGAGAGGTTGGGACTCTGATGCTTTTACAACCTGCAGGGCCATCAGCACCATCCCTATGAATTCACTGAAAGAAGAGATACCGGGATCTGGGGGGAGGGTGGCAGATGGAGGTGGATTCTGTTCTCTCACTTTTGGTTGGAGAGAGGAGGCAGATGCAGCCTGAAGGCCATCATCGTGACCTAAGTCAGTCACTAAACCCAGTGCCAGCACACTTAAGCCCTAGTCTCAGCCTCTTCCCCTGAGAGCTGGATGGCTCTGAGCAGCTCTCGAGTCTCTTGCTTCTTCTGAAAATGGTAACATAACAAAAGTGTCCCACCCAGCCAATCTCCCAGATGGTGGTAACGAGCCGTCAATAGGATTGCTGTGAAAGCACATTTGTATCTCCATACATGCAGTATTGATATTATCGACATAGTTATTGACGGCCATGTGATTGCTGTGTGCCTGATGAAATAGTGGCCTGATGGACTGGAGGGGGAACCGCCTATTGCTGAGGCGCCTCCCTCCCTCCTGTCCTCCATCCTGTCCTGGATGAGCTTGTCAGCACAATGCCAGTTCATCAGTGACCATCTTGCTTCCTAAACAGCCCCTCTCCCCTGCCCCTCCCCCAGTTATTGTGTGGATCTGGGGCCAAAAGACCTCCGAATGTTGCTCATTGGAGTGATGTTGGCACATAGCACCTGAGCTCGCATCTCTCTTTATTTGTTGCCCTTGGAGAGACAGCGGCCCTTGCCACATCCCAGGCAGTCACCCCGGCCCTCCTAAAGCTCAGCTGGGCGTCAGGATCCTGGGCTGCACGCTCGGGTGCTGTGATGGTCAGTAGGCACAGGGCCCCAGAAGTTAAGGTGCTGGGGAAGCGGCTGTGATGGCTAAAAGAACTCACAAACATGTCCCTTTCCTTCGCCCACTCACGTGGGGCGTAAGCCACAGCTCTCCTTCTCAGAGCCCTCCCCCCACCCAGCACAGACACCCCAACGTTCTTTCCGGGGCTGCTCAGATCCTGATTGCTCTCCCCTTCCTCTGTTTGCCAGGCCATCTGCGTCTCTAAATCTTGGCAAGTTCCTGGTGTGGCAGGAGGCACAGAGACACTGACCAACTGCACGTGGGTGATGGTTGGAGGGAGGGTTCTGTCGTCTTGGCACAGAACTCTACAGAGAGAAAGCAGGTTATTTCAAATTACTGCGTCTACTGTTCTTTCTAGTGTTCTCTCCATGTGGGCGACTTCCTCCTATTGTCCTTGCCCAGTTCCTCAACTGCCTGAGTGTTTCCCAAATGTTCTTTCTGGAGGCACCATTTACCCTTTTGTGTTTGCAGCAACTGCCGACCCTTTACGTGCACGCTCTATTTCTGCTGTTAAAATAATTCCTGTGAAGACAGTGAAAAGCTCTTCAGGCCTAGTACTCCCTCCAGGTACCTCTCCTTGGGTTGGTTTCTTTGTTTTTAATTGTTAGCAGATCATGCATGGTTTTCCTTTCTTCTTTCCTTCTAACAAAGATTTGGAGGCTTAATCCTTGCATGTTTAGGAGCCATTTCCTCTCGCTTCCTCAAGTGGTTTCTCTTCTCCCTCAGCGTGTGCGTGCGTGCGTGCGTGCGTGCGTGTGTGTGTGTGTGGTCGTCTGGAGACAAACTGACAGATATCAGCCCTCCCTCTCCTCTCACTGGGAGAAGGGCCAGACCAGAGGCTCAGCGTTTCATCTGGCGCAGGTCTGAGGAACATGGGCTTCTTAGGCTCTCCCTAGAGGCTTCCAGCTCCCAGTACTTTATTTAGAACGCCAGTCTCCCTAAGAATTAATGTGGCCACCCAGGGAACTGCCAAATTGGGCCGGACTTGAAGCAGCTGCCAAACCCAGACAGATGCATGTCTGTGATGCTCGCTGGGCCGTTTCCCAGAGCACTGCCTCCCCACCTGACCTTCACCTGCAGTCACTTCCTGCTTCTCCTTTCCAAGAAGGGGCATGGTTCAGATGTCAGCTCTGGCTCATCTCTCCCTCTGTATGCAGCAGGACACGTGAGGCCTGGGTGGCGCTTTGTCCCCTTTCAGGAGGTGGGCAAATCCAGCTGTGTATTTGGGAACCCAAGGATGGGCTGGATTTGTCAGTTTGCCCTTGTCCTTTTGAAAAGACAGTGGGCTATGGATCAGGTTGCCCAATAGGTTTGTGACATCGGTTACTTCTCTTCTTGATAGGGTTGGACAAGTCCGATGCTGTGCAGGGCCGCTGCCACTTGACCATACATTGTGCTTTCGTGCTTTGTGTTCAGTGGGGCAGATCTGTGCTTTTCCTCACCACGAATGATTGCTCTAAGTCACTGCAAATGGGGCTGCGGGGGTGGAAAGGAGGAGAAAAGAGGCCTTGCTTCCCTCTGCCTGGCACAGACATGGGTATGCATTGGACGTCTGAGCCCACATCCTGTCCAATGCTCACCTTAAACTTTACCCTGTAACCTCAGGCTTGACAATTTTAGGTCAAAGATCCCAGCTGTGCTGTGAGCAATTTGAAAAAAATAAAAAATAAAAGAACTGTGGAATTCAGTTCAGCTCAGCTGCTCAGAAAGAAACATTTAGCATGTGTGCCTTATAGGACTGTGTAGTCTGCATCGGCTTCTTGCCTCCCGCGACTGATTTCCTGGAGGATGAGCATCCAGCTCTTTTGAAGCCTATTTTGAAATCCTTCTCAGTGGAATTCTGAAAGGTGACCTGGGTCTGTTATTAGGCCATTGCCAACTGCAGGAGACGTCAGGACCCGGGGCGGCTCAGCGGGGGGTGCAGCAAACACTGTTCATGGAAGGGTTTGGTGTTTCTGGTTGTACTCTTTGGTGTGAATTTTCTTCATTAAGTTTGGAATGTGAGGCTCTCGCCTTTGCTCTTTCTCCCCAGGCAGCATTTCCTGTCTCGTCATTTCAGGGGGCTTGACTTGCTGATACAGATTTTCTTTTCCTTTTTCCATTGGAGAAGTGCAAGAAGCGGTGATTCTTTGCAGAGAACCGCCTAATTCCTGATGGTGCCAGCTTGATCTTTTATGAGACAGATCATCTGGAAGCTTGAGAAATCTGTCCTAAGTTCTTTCTTGAACTGTGCCTTACTAATTGGTCAGATGCCTGCTCACCAACCTTAACTTCATTTAATAAAAGAAATAAACCTGCTTTCATTTTGTCATGTTTTCAACTGATATTGTAACTCATACATTTACGCAGAACTCACAGTTACCTCCATTTTCCCCCTAACCTCATGATGGGTGGTAAACCTGAAAATGCGGTTCGTTCCTCTCCACCACCCACAAAGCCATTTGCATTCACCATACGACTGTGCGTGGCCATAACCAGGTTCATCTCATTCCCCTGCTTTAACAGGTTGCTAGCTGACTGTTGCTTAATCTGTTAGGAGCCTTGGGTTCAGTCCTCTCTTTTGGATGTTTCCTTTTCAGACATGGATCCTACAAAAGTCTGCACCGGGAAGGGAGCCGTGACTCTCCGGGCCTCGTCCTCCTACAGGGACACCCCAAGCAGTAGCCCCGTGAGCCCTCAGGAAACCCCACAGCACGAAAGCAAACCGGGTGAGCTTCCCCCTGCAACTAGGGGCAGGTATTCAGAGCCATGTGGGAAGGGCATGGATTCATCTGCTGCTTCTTGATTCTCCCAGGGGCCAGTGGGTCAGTCAGGTCCTTGTTCTATCTGTGATGGGTGGCGATCAGTGCCCTGAACTGACAGGTACTATTTGATTCAGGCAAAGGTGCAGCAGCAACCACCACTTTATTTTAGCTTTTGACTGAACAGGTGAGCAGAAACCTTGTTACAGAGCTGGTGGCTTTGCAGACTGGGATGATAACACAAAGATGGCTTGGGGGCAGGAGGAGGGAGTGGTGAGATGCACTAGTGGTTGGGTGTCTCTGAGGGCCAGGCAGGGCTGGGGCTGGGAGGAAGCCAGGGCACGCCGAGCTCTGCAGGCAGCCGACGGGCCTGGCTCCCCGGAAAGCAGAGGTGCGGCAGGCTCGGGCCTGGGGGAATAACCTGGCCGCTGAGAGGGCGCGATCAGGGTGCCGCTCCTCAGCCAGTGCAAACTAGGTGTAAAGGGAGACAAAAGAAGTCCGCCTGAAGCCCACCGCACACCCTGACCCCTCCCTTGGGAAGCCTGGGTGTCTAGAGCATGGTGGTTTGCTGAGGTTTAGACCTGGGACCTTGGAACCTGATAGATCTGTGTTCAAGTCCTTCACCATCTCTTGGCTGTGCAACCTTGGATGAGATATTTAGTCTCTCAGCCCTAGTAATCTCACCTGTAGAATGGGGTTGATGAGACCACTTGCCTCACAGCATTGCTGTGAGAATGAAATGCGGAAAGTGTTTTGTATCACACCTGGTGGCATGGAACGAGCTGCATTTGTTGCAACAGCAGAGTCAGGCGTGGGCCCCTAGTGTACTACCTTGAGTGGTGCTTCCTGACCTTGCGTAAGTCACAGCTTTGGAACACATTTAAAGCCTGAGGGGTCTTGGGTGAGATGGCTTCCAAGCTGGTTCCAAAATGCTCCATAATCTTGGAAGGCATGATTGTATTGGCCCATCTGGAGAGGGCTTTCTACAGCCCAAGTGTCCTGGGAGCTGAGAAATGCTGACCTAGAGGTTCCACAGGCACTGCTAGTATAGGGTGGGACCGCCCCTCTTCACTCTGTAGGGCAGTGAGTGGTTCTTACACTTGGGCTGCATCAGAATCACCTGGAATGAAAACACAGGTTGCTGGGCCTGCAGGTCAGAGCTTTAGAATTTATGGTTCCCACTTGTCGATCTGCGGCAGGGTCCGAGGCTGTGCCCTTCTGACAGGTTCCCAGGTCATACTGATGCTGCTGGTCCAAGGACTATTTGAGAACTACTGCTACAGAGGGGAGTTTCTTTCCTGAAGGACGGCAACAAAGGGAGAAAAGGAACTGGGGTGACGACTACTCCCTTGGGACCAGAGAGGGAAGGAAGTGGGGCCTGAGATCTTTTTGGTACCGTGGGGAACGGTGTGCTATGATAAGAGGGAATTATGTAGGATGGCAATGGTCAGTGCCCAGCGCCCTGGGAACTGACTTTCTTTGTGTCCCAGTCACCTGCAACAGGTGCCAAGGCAGATGTCCAAGGATGGGGCCAGGACTTGGGCACAAGCCCCATTCTGGTCATGCCAGTCCCTGTGGAGAGCTTCTTTCCCCTCGGCTTAGGGGAGACGTGGGTGGCCTCCAGCACTAAAACTCGAAAGTCACTTCTTGGACCTAGATTTCTGAGCTCACACCTGACTCTTGCCCTACTGCCATTTGCCATTTTCATCTCCCGGAAAGGGGGCACCAAGCAGCTAAGGCAAAATAATTTCTTACTAAAACAAGTCTAACTACTCTTCAGGCCTAACTCGGAATATCCAGCTCCAAAGCTGGAGCATGTTTGGGGAAGAGAGAATTTCATGTGATAGTTAAAGAGAAAAAACCATCCTGCCGCTGAATGGCCCAATAAAATGACCTATCAATCACATGGTCCTTTTACAGGTGGTGAATGAGAACGGGAGGAGAGGGAGCCTTGAGCTCCCCCTGGTGGGCATCGTGTGGCACTACCAGAGTGCAAATGCTACTCTATCCTGCTGTCCGTAGTGGGCTTTTGCCACAGTACTGTGCAGTTTTTTGAGGCACTTTAGAAAGCTTGTTCTGGTCCCCAAATCATTCTATATCTTATAAGTTTCCAACAACTAATTTGTGTGGAAAACATCATGTTTTAATATGCAAATACTCTGAAGAATTAGGGGATAGCTATCAGTCATTTGCACCTTACAATAAGTTAATCTTACTTTCAGCCTGGTAAATTGAGATCATGGAACCCAAATTATTCATTCAGACATTCACTTAGCATCATCTCTGTGCCAGGGACTAAGTGAGTCCCTGGGAATTGTGATGAGACGTGGGGAGAAGGGAGAGTAATTCTGGGTGCATTAGGTGAGGACAAAAAGGCAGTTTGTTGCCACAGGAGGGTCAGGCATGAGCCCTTGGTCCACTGCTGTGCTTTCTGACCATGGTTAAGTCACAGCTTTTAGGCACACATGAAGAATGAGGGACTTGGGCAAGGTGGTGTCCAAGCCATTCTAGTTCCAAAGGAACAAGCTTGGTTTGATTAGAGGGCAAAAGGCCCTTGTGTGCACAAGGGGCTGGGAATGAGTTAACACGGAGGGTGAGGTTCCAAGGATGTGACTCTAGTGATAGGACCTTCAGGATCTTGTCCTCGTACCCGGCTGCTCACTGACAACCCTGTTGGCTCTTCACTCTGGCCATGTCCTCCTGGCTCCCTGGTCCCCCGCCCCCATCCCTGCCCGCTCCCTCCATCAAGGCCTCTGGATGACAACCCCCTGGCCCGCACCAGTCTCCAGTCCTGTCCTGGTTCTGGCCGCCCCTGGGCCCAGACCTGCCTCGTGAAAACAGTTTTCAGCAATATTGTCAGGCAGCCATGCCCAGCCTGGACTGGGAGCATTTCTCCGCCCGATGTCTCACAGACAGCAGTGTCTGTCCAGCTCCCTCCCGCATCAGCGGGGCCAGTGCCTGTTCCCTGTCTGCTCTGTCTGCCCTGCCTCTGCCTCGCTCCCTGCCTTTACCACCTTCTTCCATTCCTATAGGTCTCCAAGCTGCCCATGGACTGGAAGCTCCAGCCTCCCACACTGCCCAGCACCTGTGTCTTGATTTCTTTCCTTAAATGGGCCTTTGACACCCACATTTCAGAGACACTTCCATTTCAGAGACACCCCCTCTATCCAACCCTCTCATCCTGGGAGACATGGTCTTGTTCTTGAGTCATGCAGTCCTCTGTCGAGGCTCCGCTCTGCCACTCTACTATCTTTGTGATACGGGCAAATTACTCAACCTTAGAGAGCTTCAATTTTCTCTTTTATAAAATGGGAATGATCTTAGTAGAGTTGTTGGGATTCAATGAGCTCTTTCCAACATTTCACACGGAGCCAGGCATGCAGTATGGTAACCATTCTAGTTACTGTAGACCAGGAGGTCCCCTAAAGGCTTCCAGTACTTTCAGTCAGAGGCCCTGAGGGCCTGGGCCTGGCGTAGTGGCAGCAGGAATGAAGAGCAGAGGCCAAGGGTGAGTGGACTCGGGAGAGTGAAACAGCAGGGCCCTGTGCGGCTAGGAGCACAGGGGACAGGCTCTGTGCTGACCAGGAGAGTCCCTGGTACCTATGGCAATGAAGGGAGGTGAAGGAATGGTGGATTCCTTTTTATTTATTTATTTTTTTTGATGTGTTGAGTTTTTTGGCAAGGAAAGGACTTCTGGGAGGGAGTTTCTAATAGGCATTTGGAAACCTGGAGTCTAGGTGTGCATCTGGGAGACACCTGCATCCAAATGAATGTGGCGAGAGTGGAGCTGCTCTCTGAGTTTCAGTGGCTGATGGAGCTTCTGGAGTTGCCCGGTTTAAACCCAGTGTCCAGACTCCTGCTCTCAAGTGGTAGCTTGCCTCTGGGTCCCTGGCCATGGCTTCCTGACCAACCTCTAATCTCTGACTGTGAACCTTGGTTTTTGGAATAGAACCATCTGGAAAGAACTACAGTAATCTTAGTGCTGACTCCCTGCCCCTAGGAGAGGTGTTACCTTATCCTCGCTTCCTGATACCACTGCTTGGCCAGGTCTGGGTGTTGGCCTGTTGGCTCAGAGTGACTGCACCCGTGTCCCCAGGTCGGGTGTTTCTACTCCAGAGGAGACAGGGAGCCTGGGCTGGTGGTGGGTGTGATACCAAGCTTTCTGGCTGGTATAGCCCGAAGACCATCAATCCTTGTATTTTGACTCATAAACTCAAATCCTGCCCATCTCTTTTGTTAATTTTGTTAATCCTGTGCCAGTTGGCTCCACTCCTTCTGCCTGATTCTTGAGGACCAAGTTAGCTTTGGACGTAAAGATTCTTGGGCCTGCAGTCAGCTCATTTCTTTTAGTTTGAGTCTCACATTTGCGCTCCAGAAATGGCAGGAGCAAAAAAGATGTCATGAGAAAATTAACATGGGGAGAGTGAAAGACACTCCTTACCCCCATTAACTCAGAGTCCTTTTTTTGAGCCCATGTGTGAGAGTTGGAGCCAACTGAGAAAATGGAGGGAAAACGCCCTGTAAGAGAATACCTTCGCTTCTGACGCCAGCTGCAAGTTTAGGGGATTCCCCAAGCCATCCTCAATTTTGATAATCTGCTAGAAGGACTGAAAGAGCTCTTTGAAAGCTATTATACTCATGGTTATAGTTTATTACAGATTAAAATCAGCCAGGAGGAGAATCACAGTTTCCAGTATCCTCTCCTGTGGATTCAGGACAGATACCATATTTTGCCTTGTATAATGTGTACATTTTTGCCCAGATTTTTGAGGGAAAAATAAGGATGAGCGTTAGGCATGGGCAGTATTAATTCCATATCTACATAAAGGTTTTTAACTCTTTTATTTGTGTTTATGCATTAAAAGTGTAACTCTAGAAAGCAATAATGATATCTGTATGCAAAATAGTACCCAGGAATACAATAATCAGTTTTATATATAAACAAAAAAATTGAATTAAATTAAAATGAAAGTTTTTTCCTGAAAGTTTGGGCCGAAAACGTGAGTGCATATTATATGCAGGAGCTCATTATACACAGCAAAATACAGTAGTTCCTAACATTTAGATGTTACAATTGCTCATACTATTCCAACCAGGAAGCTCACTTGAGCCACTGTGTCCAGGGTTTTTATTGAGACTCCATTACATAGGCATTACCCACTGCCCATGTGGCTGATACCTTAAAGCACATTATTGGTGTGGCACAGAGACATGCCTATCAGGGTGACATTCCAGGGCTTTAGAGGTTGACTCCTAGAAGCCAGAGGGCAAGGCCAGACACCTTTTTGAGTAAGGCTAAGTTCTTTACTGCACAGCATGAATAAAAAATACACCAATAAAAGAGTTTTAAAACACTCCTAGAGCCACTTTTAACACCTCTCCCCTGTTGGACATTCTACCAGAACACATCAATTCTCTCAGAGAAAGTTATCCTAATATTCCAAGAAGAAACTGATTAGCAAGACAATTTAGAACAGACCAAAATGACATAAGCACGAAGGAGATACAAGAAAATATCAGGAGACTGTGGCCTCAGGCCAAAAAAGGTGGCATGTAAAGAAGAGACGGAGAAAAAGATAAGACAAAAGAAATTCTATTTCTCATGGGAAGGCTTGGGTCTCTTCAGGGCTGCAGAACCTACCCAAGATCCGACTTTCCAAGGCCTCGTCCCCCTGGAGAGCTCTGAGGGTGACGTTTATGATAAGCATTTTGACAGTCTCGTCACCAAAAGTTAATAATTAATGACTATGTATATAAAATTTCACATGCTGTTTCAGGCATATAGTGACCCTGGGTGGCTACCAACCTTCAAAGTTGAGAAGACTAGGTAACAGATGAAGGGTGATAAAATGTTAGAAATACAGCCCTCCTTTAAAGGAAGAGAGGAATGCTTAGAAGGATCCTGGGGACTAATAAGGGCTGGGTAAGGGGAACAGTTTTAATGACTTGGAATTAGAAGAAAAAGTGGGTTGACCCCTAAGGATATTATGTTCTTGAAGCTATTTATCAAATAGCAGATGTCAGTAACTCTAATTTATTTCTATGTCTGGGGAATTTTTTTCTTCTTATGCTTTGGATTCCTAGTTTTCTAAGTACATACTTTATGCCAGACATTGCCCTTGGATCCTCATGACTCCAAAGAGGAAGATAATATCTCTTTTACAAATGAGGCTAAGTCATTTGCGGCAGAATATGCAGTTAGCAAGATAGTCAGGACTCAAATTTGGCAATCTGGTGCCGACATGGTAGTCCCTTTATGATGCCTAGACCTTTGGAGGGACAGACTCATCTCATATCCGTTTGCCAATGTCACCTAAGTAGAACCAACCCAGCTGAGAACCAAAGAGGGAGCAAAACAAGGTGCCCCAAAATCTGTGTACAAAGCTCACATCCTTTATTTGAATAGTCCTTTACCCAGAACCTATTGGCATTTTAGTGTATTTGTAAATCTAATAGATTTGATAGAAGGATTTGACAAAGGTGAATTAGAAATAACTTAGAAAGGGGAAGAGGGAGAACGATTGTCACAACATGTCACCTGGTGTTTCAGGGCTGGCTAAGTGTGAGGGAACTCTGGGCCCAGGGTCCTGGATGGATGCCACAGAGAGTGTTGAAAATGGTCACTTTGAGGATACGTCATATACCTGATCTCTGCATCTTCAGCAACCTGTGAGGTGTCTGTGGAGTAAGGATTATGTTTTATAGATGACGCAAGGGAAGTTTAGGGTGATGAACAGCTTGCCCGTGGTGACCCAAGCTGTCCATTGCAGCAATGCGAATAAAAGTCAAATCCTATAAATGTCCTGACTTACAAGGTTGGGAAGAGAAGACAAACACCTATGCATTGTCCCTAAGGGAAGGGCAGAAATGTAACAGACTACCTGCTAAAGGAATATACAGCTGAAACATGTAAAAACTCTGACATAGAGGGGGAAAAAATAAGCAAAAATAGATACAGTTAGTTTTCTGGAATAAGGATATTTTCATGTACTGCTTATATCAGTGGTTCTCAGAGTGTGGGCTATGGATCATCAGCCTTAGCATCGTCTGGGAACATGTTAAAAAGGCACCTTTTCGGACCTACCCTCTTATCACTGAGTCAGGAGAACCTCGGGGATCAAGCCCAGCAGTCTGTTTTCACAAGCCTTCCCTGTGCTTCTGTGGCAACTCTGACACCTGGTGGCTTCCACCTCTTCCCTGAGATGTAGGCTCTACTTAGTGGCCAATGGTGGCTGCGGATGGTGGACAGGGCACCAGTACATCACCCTGGAGACCTGGGCTGACTGCTTTGTCGTTACCTGGCTAGGTGACTTTGGGCAAGTTGGTTAGCCTTTCTGTTTCCTCATCCATGAGGTAAAATGATTACCAACATCACAGACGTGTGCGCCCTCAATGAAATACTAAATTGGAGCAAAAAAATAAGTGCACGCCTGGCACTTAAAAAGGTGTTCCATAAGTATTTGTAAATCTCAGCTTGACATCTGGAAGGCCCTTCTCTAGCCCTTGAGGGATGCACATTGAAATGGAGCCTTGGACTGTGAGAGCTGTGGTGTTACTCCCTCATTATCCTTATATAGGGTAAGACAAGAGCCGGCACCCAGGGAGAAGGAAGTTAAGGGATTGGCTACCTCAGGGGTTGGCAAACTTGATCCATGGGCCAGATGCGGCCATGCCTATTTTTGCACAGCTCATGAACTATGGATGATTTTTATTTTTTTAAATGGTCGAAGGGAAAATCAAAACAATGTTACATGCCACATGAGAATTCTCTGAAATTTGAATTCGTGTCCCTAAATAAAGGTGTATTGGAACATAGCCACACTCATTCATATACATATCGTCTATGTCTGCTCTTGTGCTGCAGCGGAAGAGTTGACTAGTCACCACTGAGACCATATGGCCCACGGAACCTAAAATATTTACTGTCTGGCTCATTATAGAAGAAGCTTGCCGGCCCCTGGGCTAGATGGAGGGTAGAGAGTGGAGGCAAGAGATGCTACAGAAGATGATAAGAGCAGACATTTACTGAGCTCTGCCAGGCACTGGGCTAGGTGTTTCTTATGCGTCATATCATTTAATTCTTATAACAACACTTATGAAGCAGGCATCCCATTATCCCCAGTCTTTGGATGGAGAAGATGAGGCTTATAACTTGCTCAGGGACACAGAGCCCATAGATGGTGGAGCCAGGATTTGAATTGAGGTCCACCTGCCTTCCCAGCCAAGCTAATAACCGTTGTGCTCTGTTGCTTCGCGGTGTTAAGTGGGTCTGAAAGGCATCAGGCAGCAGCTGAGAAGACAGGGTGATAACCGGCTGAAGGGAAACAAGGGTGCCTTGTTGTGTGATGAAAACTCAGAAAGGGGTGATTAGATTTTAAATGTTTATGTGGCTCATTTAACGGAAAGAAGAAAAGCAGCCGGGGAGAAAAAAGTTCTTACCGCAGCAGATACCTCTGGGCTGAAATCATGTTCTCTCACTAGCCCAGCACCAAGACCGACGGAAAAAGTGCTTATCTCTTTCTCCCTCTCCTGGGTCTGTTAATTAGCCCAGTCTGCTAATGAGGAGGGGTCATTCTGAGCCTGCACCGGGCGTGAAGAAGGGGAATGAGAGTGAGTGAGTAGGCACCGGACAGTGAAGTTCTGTTGCCTTTTAGTCTGTAAAATAAGAATGTCAAGGAACAATTGTTTCTTCATCACTGTGAATGTGAGCCTTGTGTTTTCAAAGGTCAGCGCCTGTGAGCACATCAGGGTTTGGAGTGGGTTCCTATGGTAATTAGGCCATCGTGACTGAGGGCATTTTGTGTCAGGCAGCGGGGTGCTGGATTTGCGTCTTTCTGTGCGGCGCATGCTTGTTTCCTGCAAATGTAACCATTGCTGTCCCCCCTTCTTTTTCTTGTTTTCATCCTTTCTGCACCACACATAGGTCTGGAGTCAGAGGACCCCTCCGCAGGTATGGTTTCCCTTGCATTCTTCCTGACCCTGCCTTCCAGGAGGGACCCTTCAGTTAGAGGGGAGTCAGGGAGTGTTCCTTGGGAGTGAGAGTTTTTGTTTTCTTTTTTCTGTCTCAGATGAGTGGAGGCCTTCTTCCAATGCTGATGCCAATGGAAACGCCCAACCCTCTTCACTCGCTGCCAAGGGCTACAGAAGTGTGCACCCCAACCTTCCTTCCGACAAGCCCCAGGTAGGCAAGTGCCCCAGGGCGGGGTGGGGACTGCTGAGCGGCACCTGTTCTTAAGCTGTTCTGCTTTAGTTCATGCTTCTAGCTTGCTCAGTTGGATAATGGGCTGGGCTTAGAGTTGTGTTGTTGACCAACTGTGGAAAAGCTCTGCAGGAACCAGAGTTTAGGAGAAGCTGGGGTTGGTTGAGGGAGGCAGAGGCACAGGATGAGTGTGTACACGGGATGGCATGTACCAGGGTATTGGAAGTATAGGCCCCGTGTTTGATTATTTTAAGGTGTGTTTAGGAATGTTCTGGAGCAGGGAATCCATTTGGCCTTGGATAGTGGGGAAAAGTTCTGAGCCTGTCTGTTAAAAACTCTATTTAGAGTGTAACATACAAGAGGAGAGTGCACTCCTGTGTTTATTCCATTAATTTGCTGCAATTGGGTCTGTAAGAGGCCCAGCAGCTCTGTCTTTTCAGATTAGGGTCGGGCAGCTGTGGCCAGACCCTTATCCCGTGGCCCAGGGGCAGGCAGCTGGAGAGGGAATGGCAGTACAGTGGAGCTTAAACTGCCTAGCCCTACCTTGCAAAAAAGAAAAAGAAAAGAAAACACAAAAAAACCAAGGTGTACAATTTGGAGTAGGGATCAATGTGCTTCAGTCTTTCCCCCTGGATTGTTTTCCTGACCTTTCGTCCCTCGCCCGCCCCGTGGCTACTTTGCCATTTTGACGAAAGGAGTGGACCATGTTTTCATTCAGGCATTCTATGAAGCGTGTTCACGTGGAGGGAACACAGCCACAGAACAGGGCAGTTCTTTCTTTTAAAGGAAGCTCTGCTGCCCAACATGTGCTGCAGAAATGTGTTCCTTGTGTGGTCCGCTTCCCTGTGCCTGCTTTCTCTCAGGGTGCTCCCAGAACTCACCAGGAGCCCTGGAACTCTGCACTTCCCTCCTGGTTCCCACACTCCTTCTCCAGTGGTCCTCTGGTGCCTTTTCCTGAGGACATAAAATTGCGTCGGCCCCTGGAGTGAAACCAAGTCAGAGATAACATTCTCCTTCCTCTCTGCAGACCCTTGTCTCCCCACACTTAGAGTTGGTTGCTTAATTGTCCACCTGGTGTGCTGAGCCACACCACTAAGCTTTCCCGCCCCACCAGGGCTTGCCTCTCTTAGGTATGGCCATGTGCACCCAGGGCCCCTGCTTAGAACCAGGAGCTGTGAATGCACCTCCTGAAGTCTCCATCAGACGGGGGGACTTGGGAGGTCAGTTGTCTAGTGAATGACTTGCCATGGGTTTCCCTGGCTAAGACCTTCCCCGGTGTACGAGTGCGCTGCCTGGGGCAGACAGGCTTCCTTCTCAGCTGTCTCAAGAGTGGGTACAACTGGCTCTGTCCAGGTTGGGAAGCAGTGCTGATTCATTCAAGGCGCATGTGAAAGTACAACCTCTTCCACTATCAGTGACTTAGCTCAGGGGTAGCTCGCTAATTCCTTTTGGCTTTTGAAACAGCTCTTCAAAAGACATGATTTTAAAAGCATGTGAAGTAAATAAAAATTACACACATTTATTAACTGCAGGTTGATTGAGCACATGTTGTGTTCAGATTACTGGGTTAAACATTGCCCTTGAGGAGTTAATAGGGCAAGCCTTATCATAAGTGTAACATCCTTGAATATCTCCTATGAATAGTGTATTTTCTTGCTATCACTATCCAGACATTTCCTTTTAATGAGGTATCTTAAAGGGAACCTAGTAAATTGGTGCTATAGGATTTAATTCTGTATATTCAGTGTAAAATTGCCCACCCAAATTTCAAGAACCTTTTGGCCATGTATTACCTCTTGAATTTGTCAAGTACAAAATTGACTTCATGTCTATATAGCCATTGCTGTAAGTACACACTGGCTTAGGGAAAGCCAAGATGGGCTGGGCCGGGGAAAGCCCTGGCTTGGTGTCAACTAAAGAAAGCTCTCATATCCCTACAGACTTGGCATCTCCTCAGATGGACTGAGTTGGGGTCCATGAGACACATGGGTTGGGCATGGGGGGTACTGTCCCTGATGTTCCCGTAGGTGCCTTTCCTCCTGCCAGCCTGGACCTGCTGCCCTGCTCTCTGACAGAGACAGGGAGCCAGGGCTGCCCTCTCTGACACTGTCGTCATGTGGGTGTCCCCAGCGGAGGTGGGTATTGGTAGTTTCCAGAACTGTGTAAACTAGGAACATATCAGACTCTTCCAAGCAGCCCCATTTTTTTCACTGCCTCACCTTCTAATAAGAGAAATGAAATTTCATCAGTAGCCTTTTGGGGAGGATGCATGCTACTCCTGTGGCTCCTACAGTGTTTACATGAAACGGAAAGCAGTTCCTTCCATGTAAAGGGACTGCGCCTATCCAGTCCCTTCTCTAGGGCTACAAGAAGTCCCAGGACAGGAAGACCTTTGGCTCTGCGTGCGTTGTCAACACTCTGGGGAAGCGTCCCCTCTGCAGGGTCAAAGCCCTGGGAAGGCTCGCGCCTGATGTAATGCAGCTGTGGCACCATATATGGCCACAGCCAAATTAAGTTAAAAGCTTATTGAAATTGATTTCTATCTTTGGACAAGAAAGAATCACATGTGAGACACTCGAGCGCAAAGTAAAAGTAAATCTGAGCCTAATTCAAAATCGTCTTTCACTTACTTCCTTAGACAACCATGATCAACTTACCCCACAGTCCCTTTGGTGCATGTTAGTTCAAGTGTTTTGTTTCTAGAGAGCATCATTCAGTCTATAAAAATGCCCCAACCTCCATCCTACGTTTCCTGAAACCAAGTGAGTGTATCTGGAAGGTGTTGCTCCCGGTTACTACTGAAGAGGGGCTGCTCTTGTTGTCTTTTTGGCTGGTACTTACGGCCACATTCCACTGGCACTGTCATGGGTACCCTGAGGGAAGGATAGGCATCAGGTTAACCCAGGTACCCGGATAGTTTCTTCTCTATCCAGGTTACTTGAAAACTGAGTTTGTTAAGGGATCGGTTGTTTACTGTTTCTGGGTTGATATTCTAATCCAGACTTACAAAACTTTTTTATTTTCCACTTAATTACTCATGCTAACATCCCTTCCCCCTTGCCACCTGCACTCCACAAAAAAAAAAAAAGTAAAAAGCAGCCTCAAAATAGGCCTTGCACCCTCCCAGTTTTTGGTCACAACCCATTTGCCAGATTTTGACCAAACTCTAATACATCTCACCTGTGCCATTTGGTGGACGGTTCTGGTTTTCTTCTAGAATTGGGCTGTCTTTAAAGATAGGGGCCAGTGAATTAAACCCAGGTGTCTAAGCTCGGGATACTGTAGTAAAACATCATAGTTGGGTGGCTTAAACAACAGACAACTATTTCTCACAGTCCTGGAGGCTGGAATGTCCAAGATCAAGGCGCTGGCCAGTTTGACTCCTGGTTAGGGCTCTCTTCCTGGGTTGTAGATGGCTGCCTTCTCACAGTGTCCCCACATGGTAGAAAGAGAGCTCTGGTCACTTTCCTTTCTTATAAGAACACTAATCCACATCATGGGGCCCCACCTTCATGACCTTCTCTAACCCTAAGTGCCTCCCAAAGGCCCCCCGCTTTAAAAATAATTACTTGTGGTTAGGGGCTCAGTAAATGAATTTTGGGGGACACAGATATTCAGCTGCAACACTAGGAAAATAAACTTTGCTTATCTTGTGGTCTAATTCCCAGCTGACAGATGGCTTTCATGGAAATGAGGATCAGTCTGGAGATTTACCTCATTTCCTGACCTTCTCTCTGACTGAGACCCAAGGAGGAGTCATGTTGAGGAAGAGGGAATGAGTTGTGAACTACAGCTTTCTAGCTCTGAACTTGGAACCAGAGCTTTGGGCTTAAGCCAGGAGCGCTGGGGCTGACCACCTCCCTCCAGAATTCTCTGTGTCTCCTAGTGGGCTGGGTGGGAATGGGGAAAGGGCTAGAGTTTGATAAGCCAGGTACAATCTAATCTGGTAGGCCCATCCAGTGCTTTGTTGCCCAGTCCTTTTGTTCTGTGTACAACAAAAGTTGGAGGCTACATGCTTTTAATCTCATGCCTGTCTTCCTTCTAATAATTAGTTCCATCAGATTGTTTCCTCTGAGAAAAGAGCACAAGTGGATTCTAAGTCCTCAGCATTCTCTTCTTGGCGAGCTTTAATTTGCTATGCTTATGGAATTGCGCGCTAAAACCCAGTGACTCAATTAAGACATCTGTGTCCTGTGAGCATAAGGATGGCTCTCCCATTCCGCATTTCCTAAGGGAAAAGAAAGAAAGACACTCGAATGTTTCTGTAACTTCAGCTTTTAAAGCCAAAGGCATCAGAAGAAGAATCTTTGAGGACAAGAGGTGTAGAAAATTGGGGGCTTGGGGCTTCTTCCACTGACATGTCGCCCTTGGGCACCCTTCTTCAGTGAGGAGGCCTCAAAGGGTGCAGGTCAACAAAGGATTGGTGTCAAAATTGGCTCAGCACGTGGCTTCTCCCGAGCTGAGCTCAGCTTCCCTGGGATACAAGGGAGGGTCAGGCCTGCCTCTCCAGGTGAGTATGATTCAGGCATCGACTTTACCCAGAAAAGAAATGTAGACTCCATGAGGAGTCTTAAGTTGAGGATTTGCTTTAAAACATGTCTAGAATTGTTTTTTCTTCCGATCGTGTTATGCTGCTATTTCTAATGGTCATCCTTCTTTCCATTCCCCTCCTCTCTCTCTTTTTGCCCTGTCTTGACATTGTGTCTTGAAAATAATACTAAAGGTTCCCTCTCCCCCACGCCCACCTCTTCCTAAAGAGGGCCGCTTTGCATGGCAGCCGCCTGCCCTCCACAGTACCTACAAGGACTCGCTCTACCGGAGCTCACCAAAGCCTTACGCCCCACCCGGCACCCCCAGCCAGCAGAACCCTTCACCCCCCCAGCCTGTGTCTGTGGCCCTGGCAGACAGATCAGCTCCCAAAGGTGCGGTGTGCCCTGGGCCCTCGCTTCCGGGTTCCACGTTCCCCCGTGCTTCATCCCATC